CCAATGAATTGTGGTATTATAGGGGGTCATGTTGATGACTTTAACGACAATTCTGTCATCTTCTTGAGCGGATATCGCAGGGCCGGGGAATTTCCCGTTGATTGTTACAATCTCTTTTGTCTGGCATAGTCTGGTGAGTCTCATTGTTTGTACCTATTAGTGAAATCAGTAACACAATAGAACTCTGTTTAGTAGGACTAAAGAACAAATGCATGAATACATCAGATGAATTATTGATTATTAATGATACTTACCTTGAATTGATAGAACCTAGTTGCAGCAGTAAACCCGCCAATGTTCATTACTTGAAGAACGAACAAGAAAAAGCTAAGACGGAACAAGGACGAGACAGCTGAATTGGTCATTCTTTAATGGAAAAGAGACAGAGAGATATGAGATTGAAAGGTACTGATTAATGCAACTTGTTTTTATAGTGTTCGAAGGCGAAAAAATAGGAAATATAATCTTTGGAAAGAAAGTTTCATGATTTTGTAGAGTTGGGAACAAAGACACTAGTGATTATAAGGTGTTGGGAAGGCGTGAGTTGTTTCTTGACCCCAGCGTGAGATTGAAGGCAACACACGGTTACTCTTTAAAAGGGCTTATAAAAGGAGTGAGATTACTCTTAATTAGTATCTTCTCTTTGATTTTGGATTAGTAAAAAAGCTTTTATACATTATTCTCTACCAAAGTTGTGAGTCATTGTTCATCAATTCAGTGTAAACTTGTAATGATTTTTTATTTTATTTTATTTGACATATGATTATACATACGATAGTTTTAGGATTAGTTGAGATAAGTGAGATGCATGATTTAGCATCATTAGAGAGTGTTTAATTAGTAGGGTCGTATTGGTTTTTATTATGGACATTACACGATCATGTTGTTTTTGAGTTTTTTAGAGTGATAGAAAAGAAAGAGTAAGAAGGGATCAAGTTTATTGGTCGTGTCATCATCAAAGTTTGTGCACGCCTTAACTTGCCAAAAAAAACTCATTTTACTATATATCGATA